CAAATCTAAAATTTAATAGCGTTACAACTATATTTGTAAGTCATATATTGAACGATAATTCAAGTTCTCAATGTGAACTTGAATTCTCGTTCAATATATGACTTTACGCCGGGTTGCGGGTTGATCGTAAATTATCAACACTGTCTTCGAAATTTATATGTGCCCACCTTCGTTTCGGTTATCATTTATTTAAAATCGAATAGCGTATTCAAAGAAATACCTGTAGTGTCTCAGACTTAGTGTTTCCTGTACATGAAAATAATTTGCGTTGACGGCAACCGGTCGTACACTTTTGGGATCTAAATAGGCCGAATGGGTACGATTGGAAGTTTTAGACACCACGTGTGTTGCGAAATTCTGCATCTAATACGTGCTTAGAAATTATCGATAAAACATAATTTGAACATCCAAAATTTATTATAGTAACCCCGTATTAAAGTCTCATTTAGATATGCGTCTAGCGTTTAAAATTATGGTTGCCCATTAACATCGTTCTTCGTGATTACATCGCCAAGAAAATTGTTTGATGAAACAACAGTGAAAGATTTTGAACAGGTTTCCGGATCAAGATCACAATTAATACGTAAAATGCTTTATATACAAGAAATTATCATATGGCAAATTATATTCTGAAAGCTTACGTAACCTTCTCCAATGATGTTGAAATCCATTGGCATCGGGAATCACCGAAAGTTTTTATTTTACGTTTAACGGCAGTTCGCCCTTTTCTGAAGTTTAGAGCGACATCGATGGTGGCGGTTTCCTGGGTGATCCGGCCCAAGAGTCACGACGGTTATAAGTACCCGGTTGCGGATCGTTTAAAGAATAAAAAGTAATGATGGCTGATGGTTATTGTTAAATTTATTTCAGTATAAATTTATAGTCATTCTTAACCCTTCACTAATATACTTCGTGTGTAACAAATATTTTTGAACATTCATCCGGTAACCTTATGCTTAACATTGCTTGTGTCAAAAAATTGTTTCACATTAGTGACCGAAAGTTTATAAAGTTTAAACGGCGTCAGTTTTCGAAATTTCATAATTGAAATAACCTGACATTTTAATATGTTATTGAATATTTTAAAGGAATTTTTGGCGCTGAAGCGCAGAAGGAGTTCGGGTCACGTGGTTAAAACCTCAAACGTTTACTGAGATCACAGTTTTCGTCGCACTGACTTTTATTACGAACAGTTTTTGAGGTTATATGGAATCCTGGGCAGATGGCGGATCGTTATTTATAACAATCGCTGGAATGTTTGGCAGTTTTATAAAAATTTGTTCGTTCAATTTCAAACATACGAATGCTAACCTTAATGGTAAAAATTCGTTTAACTGACTGCAACTTTTGCAAAGTTATTCTAGTCTCTGGATTTAATTGTAGATCTGGAAAAATTCGAAAACAAAATTTTTGTACAAATTTCGGTAAACTTGACTGGCATTCAACTAAAAGAAAACAATGACATCTGTAGGAGGAAAAATGCAATTTCAATAATACATTATGCGTCATTGTAACGTAATAATTGCGAATCCCGATAAAACACATAATTTCCTCATTATATCTAAGATTATTGAGTCATTGACGGTCAAAATTCTAAAGATGATTTTTCGTTTTTTTTTGCGATTCCACTTTCTTTTTTTTCCACAAAACGATTTCGTCCACTTTTTAAGCATAACTGAACACCTCGAGACAAAATTAACCCTCGTTCGTATGTTGCACGTGAACAGTGCAAAGGTGAAGCTCATTTAGTTTCGGCTCTGAATATTTCAGAGTATCAACTTCCTTTAAACGATGTTTTAGTAGCAATAAACTTGGCGTCAAGTGATAAGCACTTCCCTTGTTTACAGTAGGAATTACATTCCTCCGTTGCGTTCGCGCAGCAGAGGTTCGATGAGTAAAAGGAAGCTGTGGATGTTTGAATTTTTCCTCGAATCGAACATTGTTGAACAGAATAGTGAATATATTATGTAGTTTTACTGACTACCCCGTTCAATTAACATCGTGAAATAAAATTATCGTCCAGCGAGACTTTTGAAATTTTTTAAACAATGTTTCTCTTTGGGGACTCATATTTTATCCCACACAGATATATAAGTGCCGATAGGTGACATTTATTTTTGGTTTTCATTTTAAATTAAATCATTTATAAACTTTTGACGTTTCCAGGACCAGCCGTGTACCATCCAATAGTTTCTGCCCTCTTCCATCATCTTTGATTATACAAATTGATCGTAAATTACTTCCATTTCACCTATTTCCTATCATAAATAATTTCTATAAAAAACTATTAGAATCACCGTTTACATTAAATACAAAATAAATGTTTACGTCATCAAGTTTCTCTCATAATCTCTATCTATGCTAAATTGTAGATTTATACTTTTGCAAGGCTAGGTCCTGCGCAGCTTTCTCATACAGAAGTCACGTTTTGCAGGCTAACGACCCAACACGTTGACACGTTTGCGGTTGGCCTCCGAATGAGATGGAGGGAACTTTTATTCGAAAGGTTACTGCCGTTTCCGTATCTTATACCTTCCTTACATTACCAACTACCTTTCAGTTCTTATAAGATAGATGTTCCAAGAGCATTATTTCGAGAATTACATGCTTATCACGAGACTGAAAAGGTGCACTTTTTGATACGAAGTTATGAAAAAAAAATCCAGTAATATTAGTTTATATTCCAATTCAAAAGAAAATTTCTATAGGATTATTTTTAACAATATCTTATGATGATTACATAAGTCATAAGGTACAGTCTTACAGACTGAATGACTCATGGCTGAACTAGTATAGTTCAACCATGGAATGTCTGATCTCTTCCGAGTCTCTTGAATTGGTTTCTGTTCAGTTATGCTTTAAAAAGGGAGTTTCGAAGGTATGAATGAAATCCTGTTTATCAATTTTGTTCAACATAAATGTACAATTCTATCGGATTTTTTGCTGTTTTTGGTAAACTGCTTGATATAAGAATTAGTTATTCCTTTAATATAATTTAGTTTTTCTGACAATTTTTAGTTTTCTTCGATAATTTTACGATTAGAAAATTCATGTTTCGTGGCTGACTCTATTAAAATTGGATGCCTCTAAAAAGGCCTACCTACTATTTAGCAATCAATATGATAACGGAAGCACCACCAGCTACAAGGTATCAGTGAGGCAAAGTTTAGTTAGTAACTAAGTTTTTAGTTTAATCAGTCGTTTGCATGTAAAAATCATAAAAAATTGGAGAACGTTATTGCTTGAAATTCCTTTTATTGTACTATACTAGACGAAAAGCGCTTATTTACAGCTAAAAAGGACTTACCAGGTACTTAGACAAAATTTAAAACTGAAAAATTGAAAATCATTACTGTTAGTGCTTTGCTTACAGGCCTGACAAAGGTTAATGTGTAGCTTATATACTAGGCATTATGATTGATTTTGAAATTTTTCACTGTTGTACACATTTATTATTTAAGCCTCCTTGCTGAACAGAAGAGTCATATGGTCTTTTTAGCGCATTTTCTCATTTATGGAAAAAGGCGCTATTGTGCTCGTCATATCCATCCGTCTGTCCGTCCGTTTGTCTGTCTGGCTGTCTGTGACTTCACGTTTTCGTCGAATTTGAGAAAATGCGCTCCATGGTTGAACTGATGCGCTCTCTGTCACTCAGTGCAGTGAGTACTGAGTTATATTTTTTTCCAAGCGTTCAAGTACTCTGGTTGGGTTAACACGGTCGAGTTTTGGGATGCAATTTAATCAGGTCGCATTTTTCTTGTTTGCCAGAATTACAGGAACCATGACACGTAGAGCTAAAATTTTTCACTATAATTGCGAATTTTTCATTACAGACATTATAACAAAATTGGATTATCAGCAAATCCCAGGTTACGCATTTACCAGACTTCAGTACTGCATGTCTCAACAACAAGCACTTGATGAGAACTTGAATTTATTAGCGAGCGTTTAGTGAGGAAATTGGAAAAACACAATAACTGGGGCTAAAATTTATCACTGCAATGCCTAAGCTTAATTAAGTATGCAAACAGGGCATTAAATGTCGCAAAACGAAGTTAAAACCAACTGAAACTGGCAAAGTCTTGGATTATATTCAACTAAGCATTTAATTGCTGCACGAACGAACGAGAAGCCGTTTTTTCTTATTCAAGCAGCGTTCAAGGAAAATTCGTGAATTCCCTCGAAGAATTTGAGTTTTGTACGTTTAACGCTGTTCCAAAAACTTCCTGTGGTATAAGATTGGGCCGTGAGTGAATATTTTAGACCCTAAAACTGCCATACTAATGTTCATACGATGATGTCGATGCGTCACTGCCAAGTGGCCTTATGGTGGAACGTGAATTAGTACAGTGCAAATTAAAATGATGAGTAAGATGTTGAAAGTATGATGATTTTTGGTTCTATAGCTGATTTGGATTTTATTTATTTATTTTTGAAGCACTAGAATGAAACTTGGCTCACACAAAGGTCTCGGATACGCAAAATCGTAACCATTTGTGGGCTAATGGTAAACTCCAGCAGCAGCAGTCGGATTTTTAGCAAATTGCAGGGAAATCTGGATGATGATCGTCTGCAAAATCAAAATTACGATTAGACATACTGCATCACAATCAGTGGCAGGTTGACCCGAAACCCTTCAATTGCTAACATTAAAATCAGCGTTGGACGGACCACTAGAAGCTGCTGCAGCATCAACATCCAGCAGCATTAGCTTTAAGATCTGCCGCAGGACTGTGACCAGATTAACAACGCTTACGTCAAACAGCACGAAAGAAAGATCAGGCGCGCCATAGTCACTGGTCACTATGCCAATACCAACAGGAAACGCATATTCAGGATCATCATAAGAAACTTTAGGACAAGATCCCCAGCTCCAGAATCGCCACAAACAACATCGAGATCAGCTGCGGCAGGATCAGCAGGATCACAAGCAGCAGCAGCAGCAGTAGTGAGGGTGCTATTGATCGCTGCTTCGGCTTGTGAATGCGCAGCCGCCGCTGTGGAGCAGCGCTAGCCAGCAGTTTCCAACATGGCTCTAGGGTGCGTGCGTTATGTTTTGCTTGTATGTTTGTCGTCTGCGCTGGCAACATCCAAGTGTTGTTAATGAGAGCAGTGAGAGAAATTAATTGTTGTGATTTAGTCCCAGGCGGGGGGAAATATATAATTCATTATGCAGAAAGAGCCAGCTCTTGACCACCAACAGTTCGTCGGGCCTTACCGACTCGAGAAAACCTTGGGCAAAGGACAAACTGGTGAGTTTTAGATAATTTAGATAACTTTTTCAGATAAAAAAGTGAAGTCAGTGCAAGACCGTAATCCATCGTGCGTATCTACGGAGATCTAGATTTGTATGCGCACGTAGAGGTGAAGAAAAACTGCCGATCATTCGATAATTAATTTTCATGTAGGTAACATTTCACTTGAGGTATAAATAATATTTAACTGTGCATTTTTCATTTATGCATTTATTGTAAAAATGCTCCACTATTATGTGTCAGACGAATCGCACCTGGAGATTTGTCACCCACGTTTTTTTCTGACAATAGGACAAACAATAAATGGGTTCTAGCAAAGCATCAAACACGACTGTTTTTTTACTGCGTTTGCTCTTTAGGATACGAACTGGCGTGTTGCTACGCAATTTAATCTTGTCTGGGACGAACTAAAAAAAAAAATAGCGTAGGATTGTTTTTGCGATAGACAATTTTTTACTTCTGCAATAAAATGTATTCACTGCATACGTTTGCCTGATTTTGAGAGCAGTCGGGGCGTGAAGGTGAAATTCTTTGCTTCGGCACGCTGATTACGAAATTATTTCCGCGCAGGGTTTTTCCCAAACAACCGATACTTACACATCGTCCATTAATTTATACTTCAACAACAGGTTTAGAAATGTAGTAAGCTAGAAGCTATTTCTCTTATATTTTCTATATGCATCGCCCACCAACTCGAACCTATACAGATTTTATGGATGCCCGTTTGTAAACGCCCATATTTGTTCATTGCACATTTTATCCCCCGTGCTTTAGTTACACATAGATTTATTTATTGTATTCTGATGCAAATTGAATCCTTGGTGCTATAATTGCAAATACCTCTGCTCACTTGCTGCCAATGCATTCAAAATATCAAAGAAATTTGCCCATTAAGACCTGCTATCAGCGTATAATTATTCCTACTGACATTGTTAAACTTCAATGATTCATTGATTCGCTCAATGAAATTGTTAACCTGCAGGGCTGGTGAAGCTCGGCACAAACTGCATCACCGGCAAAAGAGTCGCCATCAAAATAATCAACAGAGAGAAGCTCAGCGAGTCTGTGCTTCAGAAGGTATGGAAGTGAAATAATATTTCATTTTCTCTAGCTTGGCGAATTAACTAACTTTAAATTTATGTATGATATTATTACCCGGATTTTCGTCGCTTTATTCAATAAAAAACATTGTTAAAATTATACTAATATATTAACTCTTATTAGCGCATTTTCTCAATTATGAAAGAAATGTACTATTGTGCTCGCCATGTCTGTCTGTCCGTCCGTCTGTCCGTCTGTCTGTCCGTCCGTGACTTCACGTTTTCGTCGACGAGAAAATGCGCTCTCTAGCTGTCACTCATTGCAGTGAGTTCTGAGTTATATTTTTTATTTTTTTTCCGCTACATTAATGTATGTGGTTGTTTCAGGTGGAGAGAGAAATAGCTATTATGAAACTGATAGAGCACCCACATGTGCTGGGACTCTACGACGTTTATGAAAACAAAAAATACTTGTGAGTATTACTGCTTATATATTAGAAATTGGGTTAACAAATCATCTAGTTGAGTATCAAAAGGGATTTTTTAATTCACATATTTTATATACAATTCTTCATATTCAAACACATATTTGGTAATCTATTTGTCGGTAATAGATTTCTGTACCGAAATTAATCGCAAAGCTGCAGCCTCAAAACTTACACAGAACACAATTAAAGTGCAACATAATTATAACTATAGCATATTGTTGTCAGGGGAATAATTTTCAACTAGTGAAGTTAAAATTGTACAAAAAAATTATTATATATTGCATCTCTACGAAGTTAAAATTATACGTTATTTTCGTTGTCACCCACGTTTTTTTCTGACAATAGGACAAACAATAAATGGGTTCTAGCAAAGCATCAAACACGACTGTTTTTTTACTGCGTTTGCTCTTTAGGATACGAACTGGCGTGTTGCTACGCAATTTAATCTTGTCTGGGACGAACTAAAAAAAAAAATAGCGTAGGATTGTTTTTGCGATAGACAATTTTTTACTTCTGCAATAAAATGTATTCACTGCATACGTTTGCCTGATTTTGAGAGCAGTCGGGGCGTGAAGGTGAAATTCTTTGCTTCGGCACGCTGATTACGAAATTATTTCCGCGCAGGGTTTTTCCCAAACAACCGATACTTACACATCGTCCATTAATTTATACTTCAACAACAGGTTTAGAAATGTAGTAAGCTAGAAGCTATTTCTCTTATATTTTCTATATGCATCGCCCACCAACTCGAACCTATACAGATTTTATGGATGCCCGTTTGTAAACGCCCATATTTGTTCATTGCACATTTTATCCCCCGTGCTTTAGTTACACATAGATTTATTTATTGTATTCTGATGCAAATTGAATCCTTGGTGCTATAATTGCAAATACCTCTGCTCACTTGCTGCCAATGCATTCAAAATATCAAAGAAATTTGCCCATTAAGACCTGCTATCAGCGTAATTATTCCCACTGACATTGTTAAACTTCAATGATTCATTGATTCGCTCAATGAAATTGTTAACCTGCAGGGCTGGTGAAGCTCGGCACAAACTGCATCACCGGCAAAAGAGTCGCCATCAAAATAATAAACAGAGAGAAGCTCAGCGAGTCTGTGCTTCAGAAGGTATGGAAGTGAAATAATATTTCATTTTCTCTAGCTTGGCGAATTAACTAACTTTAAATTTATGTATGATATTATTACCCGGATTTTCGTCGCTTTATTCAATAAAAAACATTGTTAAAATTATACTAATATATTAACTCTTATTAGCGCATTTTCTCAATTATGAAAGAAATGTACTATTGTGCTCGCCATGTCTGTCTGTCCGTCCGTCTGTCCGTCTGTCTGTCCGTCCGTGACTTCACGTTTTCGTCGACGAGAAAATGCGCTCTCTAGCTGTCACTCATTGCAGTGAGTTCTGAGTTATATTTTTTATTTTTTTTCCGCTACATTAATGTATGTGGTTGTTTCAGGTGGAGAGAGAAATAGCTATTATGAAACTGATAGAGCACCCACATGTGCTGGGACTCTACGACGTTTATGAAAACAAAAAATACTTGTGAGTATTACTGCTTATATATTAGAAATTGGGTTAACAAATCATCTAGTTGAGTATCAAAAGGGATTTTTTAATTCACATATTTTATATACAATTCTTCATATTCAAACACAGGTTTGTTAATCTATTTGTCGGTAATAGATTTCTGTACCGAAATTAATCGCAAAGCTGCAGCCTCAAAACTTACACAGAACACAATTAAAGTGCAACATAATTATAACTATAGCATATTGTTGTCAGGGGAATAATTTTCAACTAGTGAAGTTAAAATTGTACAAAAAAATTATTATATATTGCATCTCTACGAAGTTAAAATTATACGTTATTTTCGTTGTTATAAGATTCAATGCTCATAGAGGTTGTATTTTTAATGTTGTGCGTATAGGAATCAGGTTCTAGAGCACTTGCCTGGACGTGGTATTTTTTAGCTCTGTATGATGCAACATAATATTAATACGTATCTATCAGGTTATATAACTTATGTTTAGTGGTTGTATTTATAAACACCAAATAAATTTTAATGCAATTTTGTGCTCAGGTACCTGGTTTTGGAGCACGTGTCTGGGGGAGAACTTTTCGACTACCTCGTCAAGAAAGGACGACTTACTCCTAAGGAAGCCCGTAGATTTTTCAGACAAATTATTTCTGCTCTCGATTTTTGCCACAGTCATTCTATTTGGTGAGTAGCCTCAAGAATTGTAGACAAATTCGACCACAATACATGTAGGTGAGGTAGCAGACCAGCTCTCAGCACTGTGCGATGTCATAGGTCATGAGTCTTATTTTTGCTGTCAGTTTCAGAACGCAACCTAACCAGTTTCCCCTGTCAATCACAACAACAATGGTGACGAAGCAAAAATATTTCCTGGCGTCATCGTTTTGATGTCCCTTTACCTACACTTATCCGAATACGATACAAAAATATTAGTTTCCCCAGCTAAAACTGGGAAAAAAGGCATTGTTATAAAAATAATTTATTGTGAATACCGTCGCACGAATGCAAAAAATCAATTCGTAACTGAATGAATCTATTTGTATCCTTGCAGTCACCGCGACCTGAAGCCAGAAAATCTTCTACTCGATGAGAAGAACAGCATCAGGATCGCTGATTTCGGGATGGCTTCCCTGCAGCCGGACGGGAGTATGTTGGAAACCTCGTGTGGGAGCCCGCACTACGCGTGTCCGGAAGTGATCAGGGTAAGAGTCTTCCATGCTGAAAAAAACTATCAAATAAAACTCATAAAAGCGAATCAACCATCTATAACAATTAGTGTGTGTATAACAATCAACAATGAAAATCATAAACAAAACGATGTCGCTCGTTGAGTTGCTGTAAATCATGCGACGAAGATTTTCAAACGTGCTCGAAATCGGATTTTCAAACCTGCTTGAAACGTAATCCGATTTACACGCGGCAAGTTCCTTATCCTAATCTTTATTGTAATTTCTTCGCTAATACAAAAAATTACTTTCCATTGCAGGGAGAGAAATACGATGGCCGGAGAGCGGATGTGTGGTCGTGTGGGGTTATACTTTACGCCTTATTAGTTGGAGCGCTGCCTTTCGATGACGACAATCTACGACAGCTGCTTGAGAAAGTCAAGAGAGGAGCCTTTCATATACCACATTTTGTGCCCCCCGACTGCCAGGAGCTACTCCGGGGCATGATTGAAGTCAATCCGGAGAAGAGACTTACGGTAAAGAATATTCAGAAATAATAAATCGGACTTTATTTTTATATAGAGTTTCAACAGTTTTTCAAGTTTTCTAAAAACTTCCTTTTCAATTACACTTAATCGTCGAATNGTTTTTAGTCTGCGATATTTTCTAGGTATGACTCCATGGATACAAAATACAACACTAATGTCTCTATTGCAGAAACAGTGCATGGTACTTCTGCCGAAGCACGAGAATTTCACCTCGATCCCGTGGAGGAGATAGGTTCATCGGGTGGCAAGACTGCTTATGTCCTGTCTCTTATACACATCTAGATGTGTATAAGAGACAGCATATAGACTGCTCTGTCTAATATTACTACACCTCCACCCTTGTCGGGCCTCTGGATGGTAATTTGGTCGTTGGTCTTGAGATCTTGTAATGCTTTTTTTTGTAATGCTTTTGTAAGTGTAATTGAAAAGGAAGTTTTTAGAAAACTTGAAAAACTGTTGAAACTCTATATGGTAAAGAATATTAATAAACAGGGCAGGGGCGAAGATATCAGTAACCTATTATTTATCAGCTACTATATACAGATATTCTGTTTCTCGTCACGCTGAGCAAGAAAGCAGTGCCCAGTTATTCATGGTACAGTTAAACTTTCTTTACGATTCATTCAAATTTCAGAAATAGATTTTAGGTTGGTATTGTTATAAAAACATTAGTTGAATCGCAATTCACGTCTTTGCCTGGCCCGTTTTAGTGATTAATTATAATTAAACAGTATTACGTCATCAATTAGTTCTTTTGCCAGAACTTAAACGCTAATTTATCCTGCTTCAAACATTTTTAAAAATAGGATATACTAACAAATTTCTATCTTATATCAGTTGGAGGAGATCAACAAACACTCGTGGGTGATCGCTGGGGGGAAGGGGGAGTTGGAGTTGGAGAGGCCGATGATGGAGGTAGTACAGACCCACATCATCCCCACCAGGGACCAGCTCGATCCTGACGTCATCAAGAACATGGCGTCGCTTGGCTGTTTCAAAGACAGAGAAAAAGTTACCAAAGAACTGCTTGGCAACGCGTGAGTTTAGATATACTGTATATATGTGTATGTTAGTAACTTGAGTAGTGGTGTAAATTGTTAATAATCACGCTGGTTCCATGACTATTAAATGCCTAGCTCCTTATCAAACCCGGTGGAAGTCTAGTAGCTACTTCAAACTATCGTCAGTCATAAAAAGATCCGGTCAAATGACACGAATTTAGATCTATGAACAAGGCACGAAAAGGAAAAAAATCGGCGACAGGCCACATCAAGCCTACACTTCAGCGCCGACATCACTATGTTATGGTATGTTATGTTACTAGTAATACTATATAAGTAAACAATAGTAACTCAAAAACACTGTCGATATTTTTTATATGAATTTTATCATAGAAGGTTTCAATTTTTTTGTATGGTATTCAAGCCGACAGACAATTTTTGAGAATCATTGACCATGCATTTATTAATTCGATACTTTGGTCGAGAATTCCATCGAAAATTATTGAGTATATTTTCTAAACCCGAAGAACACGAAATAATTTTTATCCTAATTTTGTGCAGGCATAACACGGAGAAAGTCATTTACTTCCTATTGCTGGACCGGAAGAAGCGACGACCAGCGTGTGAGGATGAGAATGACTTATTACACCGGTTCACCCACCGTAGCGACACCCCCGACCCTCCCAGGAAGCGGGTAGACACCTGTTCAGTCAACGGCACCATGAGTCACTTCGATAGACTAGCTGAAGGCTCGCCTGTCACACCCAGGAGGCATCTGGTCCATCAGTACGTCAAATTATTTCATATAAAATATTTTCTCCAACTTAATTAATGATAATTAAGTTGGAGTAATTTTCGTTAATAATTTTTATTAACGTCAAAATACTGCTTACCTTTGAATTTATTCTTAGGGAAAGCAATGTGTCCGTTAGTTGGAAGTAAAATCTATTACATCGAAAATTTACTGACAAATTTCATGCCTAAATAATAATCAAAGGCCATAAAATTTGCATAGATATGAGTAAATGCAATTAAATCGACCCAACTCGAAGTTTTTACCAGTGATACTTTCACTGCACTGTGTTTTTTTTACTTGAGATTTCAAGGCTTTCCATTTATTTCGACGTAGTAGACATGAACTGCTCTCGGATGCCGTTAATTTTGATAGTGAATAAAAAATCGTAAGTTTTCTCGTGAGATCAATTATCATGTTTTCTTCATTTACACTTGTAAAATTTACCAACTTATGACAATGTTTTTTTAACGAGCATTCAACCCTACGCAGCTATACGGTATCGAAACAAGATATCTAAATTTTCAATACGGTACAATACAATTTCAAATACAATAGTATTTGATAGGGAAACGAAATATTGTAAAATATTAGAGTATTTACCTTGATTTTCAACAGGACCTCCCACACCCTCCCTACGAGCCGCAGCCGTTCCCGGAACAACAACAATAACAACAACACGAGCAGTTCAGGCACTGTTGGTAGCACTCACTCCCCGCTGCACTCGAACAACGGCACCCCCAACGCATCCCCATTGTCATCTCCCCGCACTCCACGACACCATCACCATCACCACGCTCACCACCATCACCACTACAGCAGCCCACATCACCACTCGTCCCCTGTAGGGTACGGTGTAGGGGGAGGACCAGTGCATGTAACCTCCACGTCCCCTGAAGACAACAATGAGACACCCTCTGCACCAGGTTCTCCCTACTCCGCCCCCTACTGGAAATCAAGGCTAAACACCATCAAAAATTCCTTCTTGGGATCTCCACGTTTTCATCGAAAGAAACTGCAAGGTGAGAAATTATTATTTCCTTATGAGATTTGTTGTTCATCGTTGTTCAATTCACTAATTATTCGGGCGGTTATGACTTTATATCAACGAAACTAAATCGTTCACGTGGGTGAGACGGTTCATGAAACGAAGCAAATTGTGTCAGCTACATGCGTGACGATAAAAAAACATAACATATGGTAATGTAGATGTTAAATAATTATTTAACATCTACATTAATTATGCAATTATCCAAGTTAGCTAATTTGCATATAATCTTGAATATTAATACGTCGACTGGTTTGATAGGCAAGCCAATCGCATGAGGATTGCTTGGTTTCTCTTAATTAGTTATTTGCGCTTAATATTGAGTTCTTCCGTGTTATCATTCAGTTGATTCATGGAATTCACGTTCACCGAATTCAATTTATTACGTATTTTCTTGTCACCCTCGATCATAACTTTAATAAGTTTGAGTATTTTCAATATGCATACAACTCTACAAGGATTAAAATGTTCATAAGATGAAATATACGGAAGAAATGGGAGCGAATCGAACATATATCATGAGGAGAATTGCAAATATTATTTCTTATATGTACTGGATTTTAGGGCCAAATTAAACTTCAACAAAACTAATTCGTTCGATGTATAAATAAAAAATCTCACCGGGAGGTATAAAGTCGTTCCGAAATCACAAATTAAATTTCATTTTGAATTATGACCAGTGTTTATGATGATTAATAGTTCACAATTTTTTATAATAAAAAAAATAGTGCGCAAGTATTGTATTTACTGACGGTACTGATAAAGAAGCTGGAAACATCGTCCATAGATGTATTTTCATGCTGTCGAAGTTAGAGCTTATGTAATCATAATTAGAATTGCTTTAGACGATTCTTTAACACTGCAATTTTTTTGCTTCAGCCACTGCAACGAATTAGTTGTATTTATTTCTTACCTGAACAAACCAGTTATTAGATATTCTGCATATTATTCATGGCTTGTTAGTTAGTATGAGTATATGGCTGGATTTGTTACATCATGGATCTCAATTTCAATTAAAAATTATTGTTGGTACATTGTAAGTTAGTATGAGTATATGGCTGAGATTGTAACACCATGGATCTCAATTTTAATTAAAAATTATTGTTGGTATATTGTTAGTTAGTATGAGTATATGGCTGAATTTGTTACATCATGGATCTCAGTTTCAATTAAAATTATTGTTGGTTTATTGTTAGTGCGAGCATATGGCTGAATCTTTAATGTCATGGGTCGCAATTTCAATTAAAAATTTATGTTTGATACATTGTTAGTTAGTATGAGTACATACATGGCTGAATTTTTACATCATGGATCTCAATTTCAATTAAAAATTATTGTTGGTACATTGGGATGTTGCTGTTATCCACAACGGAGTGTGGCAATTCATGCAATGCGCTCTTCACCTTGAGAAATATTTCATTAGAAGCGAAATAATAATTGATGTAGGCAGGCATGTGACGCCAAGCTTCTGAAATCGTTACGAGGCGTTTGTTTGTAAATGTACATAAATGCCCCCACAATTTCCGTCCAATATGAATATGTTTCGTTTCTGGTCAGTAAGAGATGGACCTCAATTGGCAGGTGTCCCGCGATCTATGGTCCAAATCTTTAGAGAATACTGTTATCTCCTTCGTGAGTATGTAAAAGCAAGAAAAGATTTTGACTTTTTTATTCCTGTTCACTGTTGTTCTTGAATTGCTTGAATTATTATCAGGATTTATCTCAACACGTTCGTATTGGATGAGACCAGTCAAAGTCGATATCTACATAGTTTTCTGTAGTTATTTTTTCCTATAGAGTCGATATAATTGATGACCGTTTCCAAATAGATGCCTAGAAGAAGTCACCCATTTCGTATACGTGTGAATGTTTTCGTAATCAATCCTTTGTTTGTGTCATAACGGAATGTTCGTTCCTTACACAGATGTACAATATAATTACTGTTATATAAATAATGCATCCTATACCATATGTGTCGACAATAGTCCGTAGTTTGACGGCAACGATGATATTGTGAACTTAGGAGCCATTTTCAGCTCCCGTTTAGTCATAAATAAACCTAGCATGAGGAGAGCAAGAAAGACTGAGGTCAATGCCACCCGAAAAGCAGATAAAATAAAATAAATTGAATTTAAATAAGCATTACGTAGATTAATATGTGATGCTTATTTAAATGAAAAATAAGGAAAATCGCACATCATTTTAAAATCAACCAAAGAAAAAGATTCAACTCGGATTGATTCGAATGACCTCAATCTTCGAGCGTTCCTGTTTTTTTAAATATTGATAGCCTAGTTACTTGTTCCATAAACCTACATCCCTCACTAGCTGCATTGTAAATTTATGAGCGGCTCTTGCTAAAGCTCATTTGTCTAAGAATTCATTACTAGAGCAAGAAAGGTGATATACCTTGATTTGAATTATATATCGTAATTCGTAGAGGCACTAACAATAGAAGGGGAAGATTAATCCTTTGCCCTCATAAAAAAGCGCGGTGCTCCAGTTCCCTAACTCGTGGAAAAATGTATGCTTGGTTTTTGTTCCGCAGTACCAACGGACGAAGTTCACCTCACGCCGGAATCGTCTCCGGAGCTGACAAAGAAGTCTTGGTTTGGGTCTCTTATGAGCACCGAGCGCGACGAGACTTACACTATCCTGGTGCGAGACAGGGCCTTAGCCATCGTCAAGGCTGACCTCATCCATGCCTTCTTGTCGGTAAGAAAATATAAAGTTCTAGCAGCCAGATAGCTTTCGTATAACATTAGCTTTGTCAAATTATTGGCCAAGGCACAGAAGCGAAATGTGTTTATTCCTCAATTAAAAGTTCCAAAATTCTATAGATTATTCCGTACCTGTTACGATTTTTGCGTTCTCAGACTTGTTTTCTAACGTGATTACGCATTTGTTAAAACAAACTAAATTAATTTGGTCTTTAGAAATTCGCCTTCCAGAATAGCGTTATAAAAACAGTCCTCAACAGGTCGCCGAATTGAGCCATAGCGTCACGTCTCCCATGAGCTTCCGACTGGAATACAAGAGAGGCAACGCTGGACCGGCGGTCTTCCAGAGACATGTCAGATTCCAGGTTGACATCACGGCAGTTTGCTCTTCCAAAGAACCTGGACAGCTCTTCGCTATTAACTTCATACTCCTCTCAGGTGAGAATCCCAAACTAACATTATATTAAGTTGTTTATAACTCTATTCTTGACTGTTTTCTATTCCTATTTAGAGAGGGATGGAGAATTTTTTTGTGCTTATTTTGATTTTTCCTTCTACTTTTCAACATGTTTTGTATGAATAAAATTAGCCACCAGAGTTCTTAACCTGCGATATTACCTCAATTCTCAACAGTTTTCGATGATTTGATCGCGATGGAAAATATTTTTAAATCTGCAGGTAATATTCGACGTTTCCGCCGCATCTGTGAGCACCTGCAATCGCAAGTGTGTTCGCGGCGCCCCCCGGCCTCCCCCCGCGTCGGGAGAAAATTCACCACCGAGCTCTCCGAGTCATCGTCCTGCGGCTCGGACACGTCTGATCGACTGTCCCCTTTTACAACTCCGATAAAACAGGTGCGATATTCACGAAATAAGTTTATGTGAATACTTAATTTAGTCCTTATTTCGTGATTAAAATAAAGCTTATCGTCAAGACCAATTGATAGGCCTTAATTGAACAATTTTTGAGCGATTATACATGGTAAAAAAATTAAATTATGACACGTGATTCAAGGAAATGTACGGTCGTATTGATTTCTCACGTGCATTCATCTCCGAAGCGATGCCCTCAAAAAGATTAGATTTAGTTAAGTGTGATAAATTCATGTCGGATTTAGAAGTTTGAAGATCTTCGATTGAAAATTGTTTAGAATATATGTGAGCTAATGAAGTAAAAACTGCGAATGTATTATGCTGAAATATTAATTTGAAGATAAATATTTTCAGACTGGGGACAGCGACATAGAAGGCGACTCGAACGAGGCCCCGGAAGCAGAAGAAGCCACCACGCCCCCTGAAGACAAAATTTCTTCCGTCACAAATGGCGCTCGAAGTTGTTCTGATCCTGAAAGCCAACAGATCAGTAATAACGAGTCAAGCTAATTATTTATTTTTCATGAAATCTGAGATAAAATGCTCTGCTCTCTCTCAGTCACAGAAGCGGAAGGTTGGGACTAATCAACTTTAAAACCTCACACGATCGCAGTACGATTTCGCGGTGAGTCCGCATCCATTTTTCACGTCGGATCAAAATTCAAAGCAAGAACCTCACATCGCACATTAAAGTAGAGCTCCAAGAATACAAGAATATCCTCTTGCTCTGGCCCAGGTGCAATCTCTAGTGAACATTAAAAGTAAAAACTTTTGGAGGGGTGTGAAGGTGAAGCTTCAAACCACTCTTCAAAAGAGATGTTCAATCTAAAACAGAATTTGTGTTTAGTGCCTTTGTGGACACAGAGCAAATACTCTTGAATCATTCACCAAATTATGATAAATATTTCTGATAATAGGACAAAAACTCATGCTAACTCGAAGGCCGATCACCCAGGTGTGCAATACTCACTTTAATATTTTACTTTCTGAGTCTATAATTTTAATTTGACTGGAGATTAACCGTTAGTGAGATTACGAACGACCAGTGGGGAGTGCGCAAGACTGTGATGCTGTGGTTAAAATGGTCGTGGTTCTTTAAGCATTTGTGCATGCATCTGTCCAATTGTACAATTTAAGGCTTGTTGGAATAATAACTTTCAAGGCGTATAAAGGCTTTGAGAATATCTTGAACCATGCAGATAAGGAAGTGCAATTTGTAATTTAATTTTAAGTTTACTAAATGTTGTTTTGAAAATGGATGTTAAATCACTTTCCAATGATTTCCAGGTTAATTTTCTTACGAATGATACACAGGAATTAAGAAAGTTTTGATATTGGATAAAAATTGATCGCAAGCTCCTGAGAATATATACAATGTAAAGGATTTTTAGAAAAGTTTTACCAGGACGAGTTTTTCTCTTGTTCCAGTTTGAGTAAAACTTAATTGACCAGTATCACAACAGAAAACTTTCAGCTAAATTCGTATCACTGTCTCAAATTCGTCCCTACTATTTTCTACTGAATAACAATCCGAACTGAATAACAGTCTTAATATTTTAGTCAATGTGCGAAAGCGCTCATTTAAGGCTGGAAACTCACTTGATACTGTGTTATTTTTGTTTATTATATAGAAATAAATCCGTTATAATGCGCTACACGTTGGTACTGTAAATTGTTCAATTGGCTTGCGTATAATTGGAACTATAACTATAACCATTTGCTCTGTATATATATAGAATTTTTTTCGTCTTAAAACGCTTCAACTTCCAAAAGTCCAGTTTCATTTTGTATCGCAGTTGCTCACTTCATAGAACGTTATATGCTTCCCTGTGTATCGTCTCGCTTGTTGCAATGCTCATCCTTTTGTACTTGTACTATAAATTGGCTGCAGATTGTGCCATGTTTAGAGATCTGCATGGTATTTCACCAAAACCTGCAAATCAAATCCCCCAATTTCCAGAATTTCTGAAGAACAGTTCGCAGTAAATGGTCTTGTGCCTTGCTTGGCTGCATCCATTGATTCTGATAATCCATTAAAAATTTAGTGATTTCCGAAATAAAAGCCAATTGGCTTCTTTATGCCGATAAATTTTTATTTCGGGATGCAAGATGTAATGGAGCGTAACAGCGTTAACTTTAATAAAGTTGATGCATCCATTAAAAATGCTCTCTAAAACATAAAGTAAATCCCTGACTGAGGGAGCATATGGGAATAAAGATATCCGACATTTTGAAGGTCCAAAAAACACAAGGCATTGATCGATCTGTAATATGTGCATGTCGTCTGCAAATGAGCTTTTACACGAGCGTCCATGTTTGTGCACTTTTCTGCGTTGCACTCCAGCCTTTTATATTAACTCTGAATTCCTTAATAAAGTGTCGTCACCTTGTGCTTTATAAAACCGAGATTAGGCGCCTATATTTTGCTTACGTCTGTCGTGTCAAGTGCTTCTATAAATTAATAAGCTATGATTTAACCCACTACCGCCAGATACATTAAAAATACATACAGTATACATACTAAAATTAACAATTTAACTTAAAAAGTAGCGTTGCCTTTTCATTTGAATGGTGAGTGGCAACGCCAGCAAATAATACAATATGATATATATGAGGAGGAATTTCTTATGCAAAATTTACTAAAATGAATTGAGCGGTGGTTACAAGTGCTTTTGCGAGGTTTCGTTCACGAGTCAATGTTTTTCATCCTAATTTAGTTAAAATCACGGATGGCTTTGGTCATTGAGGAATTGATCGGAAAAAAGTGTTTATTCCAAAATCAATAATTTTTTGAACACAGGCAATACTAAAAATGAATTTACTCTTATTTTTTTCCTGAATTGCAGGGAGAGCATTTTCTCAGTTTATTTAGAAGAAAACTAATATCATATATATTGAATAATATTTAAGAATATTTTGTACTCCATTTACATTAGCTCCTGAAGCGATTTATGTTAAACTTCAGTCGACAGTTAAAAATTTTTCTTATTCGTGTGTAATTATCTTGAATATATTCACAAAACATTATAGCGATTTACGATGTATTTTGTAGAACATTGAAAGTAATCTGGCGTCTGGAATTCTTTAACAAACTTTTAGAAGATAAAATGTTTTGCTGACGAGCTACACTGCTAACTTCGCTTTCTACTAACGTATATAGATCACGCTCTTGCCTACTAATTGTATAAATAATATACTTGTTAGCCTCTTTAAACGCTTCACTGACGATACTTTTACGCATTTTGCGAAACTAAAAACGAAGTCCAATCAAATTTTCTAGTGAGTGAGCTTGCTTGTTGATAAGGCTGTAAGGCGATATTTTCGTCTGCCTCTAAGGTAGCTTTTTGCGTGTGGTTGTTGGAGACATGGTGATTCAAATGTTGAGCCATCTTAAGTCTTTTGTCGTGTTCATCATGTTCAGTTTTCGGGACCAAATTAGTGGTATTTAAAGTACTTACACACAGCTGATTCGACATCGAGGTATAGAGTTGTGAGTTTGTGCACACGTGTGCAATCAAGCGCATGAACTTTTTTCCGTTTATCGACGCGTGAAAAACGGATAAAAATTATCGACTGTGTAATTTTATCTGTTTCAGTTTTGATCAAAAAATATTCAGATGATAGAGATGTTCACAAAAAGAATTTACCCCATCGCAGCTCATTCGGCTTGTATAAAAGATTGGATGACACATTATTAATTTAGTTAAATATTTCCGTGAGTCCTAATTAAGTTATGGCTGAAATTAAATTAAATTTAAAGACACGTAAATGGTACATGGATGTGTGAACCAATAAAATATTTTACTCGTATCAGACTCTGCCACCGCGATCATTTTATCATTCGATCGGAATTATTGGGTTATATGTGGTACCATCATCTATAAATAACTCAACGTATGTCATTCTTAAGCGATCAAAAAACATTAAATAGCCGCACCGCATTCGATTATTTGCGTTCAGTAAAAACGATCAGGTCGAAGACGAGCGACCGACAAGTATTTTGTCTGAATAAGATCCGCTTTTATTGGTTCGGGATTAATTATCGTAAAAATCTGCATTTACTCAGAAAGTAGAAGTAATAAAATCCCTCACAATCATTACTTCCTATCAGTTCTTGTTGAAAATAAGGAATGTTCTCTTCAGGATAAAAGGTGAAAAATTTAAATTCAAAGGTAAAGAACATTTTCTAAAATTCATTTGTTAGGTTGAAATTATCGTGTAAGAAATGTATATTTTTATTATTTACGGGTATCGTAATGTTAAGTTAGTGGAATAAATTCGAGATTATGCCGGATAGAAGTGACCATGTTCACTATAAACTAATTTGGGCGTCATTCCAATTATATTCTAGTAATTGTTTTGTTACGATGTGGAATCGGTGACATTAATCCACTCAAATATTTTGTCGCTCGCTCATCGCTTGAATTTAATTTTTGTCAGAAATAATTAAATAAAATTACAAACTTACAAATAATTGTTCTGAATGGAGTCTCGTTTTGAAATCAAACGTTTATCGGTTGAATTTATTTTTTGGAAGATATAATTAAGTAAAATTACAAACTTTCAAATAATTGTTCTGAATGGAGTCTCGTTTTGAAATCAAAGTCCAGTGAGTATGAATTTTGTTGTTTTCTTGGCGAGTGGCTGACATGATATGAAGGGATTTTCACCAAAACTACAAACGTATAAAATAAACGTATAAAATTTATTGATAAGAATGGTGCGTTTTGCACGCGCTTTAGTGATCTCATGTATAAATGCTCTTATTATTACCGTGTTACCATATGATGAGAAGGAGTCTCCAGCCGCCGAGATTTCTGATCATTTTTTCCGTCGAACTTTAAAGGCTTGCTCATGATTTGCATCCCCAAACCGAAGTCATTCTACGCACTGCTGGTTGACGGGATCCGCTGTACAGGTTTAGTCTTAAGTAACTAGCGTTAAACCGTTGTTATCACCAGGTCAAGTGGCAATTTTCATCATGAGAAACCAGTAAATGACTTCGCTTCGAATTGTTTTTCATTGCTCCTTTACTTTATAAGTAACGGATTCTTATCACGCAGATTCTTAACACGGATTCTTATCACGCAGATTCTTAACACGGATTCTTATCTTTACAATCAACGGATTCTTATCACGGCATAATTATATAATGAGGTGTTTATAAGGTCATCTTTATAGGCATTTATGAAAATGTTTCATCATTTTAAAAATACTATCTCTGGAATACAAGCTCGTTGCACATGCAACCTTATAATTCCATTAAATATTAGCTGTACAAATATAATAAGAGAGAGGCGCTATTAATTCCAGTCATATATTCAAGAACAGTTTTTTGCTATTCCGTGTTAGTGCCTAGCAAGATCTTAAATTTATGAGAATATTGATTACTGTTAAAACCTTGATACGAAGGGTAATGCGGAGAAGAGCTCTAGAAACTCGTATCAACTGCCAAACTTAGAGGCTAATTAAGTAAATCTTCAAATTTAACCGGAAAAAATATTTTAAACATTATTATTAAAAATTAGTGTCCCCAAGCAAATCGTCAATAACAGCAAAGAAAATAGGAAAAAGATATAATTTTCTATTGAAATCGTATTTTGTCACATCGAAAGGTATATACATTTAGTTTTAGCCGCTTGTAACGTGCCCTCGAAGTTCGATCCGAACGAGACGCCACGACAATCTCTTCGTGGAATAATAATAATAATACATGCAAATTCTATGACGCATCTAAATTCTCGGAGAGTGAAACAAAAAAACTGACGTGTCCATGTTCATGTCCTAAAAGTGTTCAATCAAATTTATATAAGTAGAAGATAATGAAATGTTGTTGTACAGTTAAAAATCACGTAAAATTTTGTAGGACTCACATACAGAACTCAACCAAGTTCGGTAACAGTAATCGTGACAGGATGTGCAGTTGTGACTTCATCAGCAACGTCGGCGACCCAGGGTGCTAATTAGTCATTATATCGCAGGTATTGCGTCTTATCATAGTTTCTTGTTAAGATCATAAGAAATAATGAGCAGTTTCGTGAAGTTTGGTGAAAATCAGGGAACGACTTATTTTCGAAATTTAGCACGACACCAATAATTAATGAATCGACGAAACATGAGGTACAACGTTATCATAATTAATCAAATTTTAATTAATTATGAAAAAATTTGAGCTGAAGGCACAAAACAAAACTGGCGCTTATTTTTGTCAATCATCAGCGCATAACTAATTAATCATCTAGGAGCATGTGCAATATTATCATTACTGAAAATTTCGTTAGTTAATAAAGGAGGATTAACGTCTCACCCTTGAGGCTAAAGGTAATTACCGACTTCAGGGTGAACGTCAGAAGGATCGACTTGAGCCGATAGACCGCTATCTATGCGCAAGGATGCAGTGAGAAAAAATACCTCTCTTTGCTAATGAAGATCAGTTCAGTTCCCAACTTGACACGCTTGGAGTTACTACACTGGCTTCTACGTGTAGAAAAGTACGAGATGAAGTTGTCGAAGGACAAAGTCAGATTTATACTGCTTCTAATAGCACTTATTTTTCCTGCTGCAAAAGGGAATGTCCATTCAGAAACTTTGTACTCTGAACTTTCTTCATTGCCAAACAAGCTTTCTTCTGTTTTATCAGGTTTTGAAGAAGATCTCGCTAGCGTTGAAACTGCATTGGAGTCCATAAAGGTTCTTCGGAATGATGGAAAAACTGCAAACGCAAAGTTGGAGCGCTGGCAAAACAGAATTAAAGGGAATCTTCAAGAACTTTCAGAATTTTTGAGCAACGAAACCAATGGAATAAAGAGTGAAGTGTCAATTGTCTCGAATTCGCTCAAGTCCTTAGAGTCTTATCGTAATTGGATTGAGCAACTTCAAGACGCGGTTGAAGATGTTGATATGGGACTTCCACATGCTTCGCCTCGCATCGATATCTCACCTGTTCAAACAGAGGTGGTTAACAAAAAAGTAATTTTTAGTCAGGGATCTTTTAGTGTTTTTCTAATCTGTAGCAGCATTGAATCCGCTAACCTAGCTGGATAAAGCAGAGAAAGTTTAGTTGTCACATCCACCCGCCTGGGTTCCGATTACATTTAGTCTATTTGGCTGAAATGTTCGGTTTTATCTGGTAAAGTCAAGGAAATAATTTCAAACTGCATTCATAATTCATTTGTCGTTTCAGGTGCCGCTCACTCCCGCGGATTGTTCGGAGCGGCCGGAGAAGACATCGGGCGTGTACTGCCTGGGTTCTGATTACATTTAGTCTATTTGACTGAAATGTTCGGTTTTAGCTGGAAAGTCAAGGAAGTAATTTCAAACTGCATTCATAATTCATTTGTCGTTTCAGGTGCCGCTCACTCCCGCGGATTGTTCGGAGAGGCCGGAGAAAATATCGGGCGTGTACACCATCTACCCCAGCGGCGCTGCCGTCCAAGTTTACTGCGACCAGACGACTGACGGCGGCGGCTGGACGGTCTTCCTGCGGCGCCAGAAGCAGGAGCCTCAACTCAACTTCCGTCAAACGTTCTCCAAATACGAAGAAGGCTTCGGGAGTCGCAGTGGCGAATACTGGCTGGGTACAATTTGCATGCAATTTTAAACCGTGTAATTGAATTTGTTTTAATTTTTGCTATTTAATCGTGGGATTAAAAGATGACATTTGAAAACAGTAAATTTCCAAGGATTTGGATTTACGCGAGAAGTTTCATTATGACCAACAATATGAGATATTTGCATCTTTAAAAATTGAATAGTCTGTCAGCCTATGAACTAATATAGATAATGATGGATCCTACCGACTTCTGCTTTCCAGGCCTGAAGAATCTTCATATTTTGACGTCACAGAAGCAGTACGAGCTGCGCGTGTTGGTAGCCAAGGGAGCCGAGTCCGCCAGCAGCCACTACCAGAAGTTCCAGTGAGCTTAACCGTAGTCAATTTTTGTTAGCATTGTTTTTCTAGGTTTAAACCCATGGCAATTGGTAAAACCTTCAAATTTTGTTGCATAATATATTTGAAATGTCTCGATTAAATTTTCATGTGTATTCCATACGTTGTAATCGCCTGAATCATAGGGAAACCAGAGATCATTTCATATTGATGCTCTTTAACGAATTCAACGCTTAAAGTTTGTTTTTAGCGCATTTTCTCATTTATGAAAAAGGCGTTATTGTGCTCGTCATGTCTTTCCCTCCGTCCGTCCGTCCGGCCGTGACTTCACGGCATAGAGAAAATGCGCTCTCTATCACTCACTGCAGTGAGTACTGAGTTATATTTTTTTATCTCAGAGTTGGAGGCGGGAGCTCGTACAAGTTGCAGGTAGAAGGCTACGACAAAGAGCGCAGCACCGCGGGCGACTCCTTCACCTACCACTCGGGTCATCAGTTCTCTGCCATCGACAGAGATCGGGATTCGGCTAGTGGTTCGATTGACTATTTTAATATCGAATTATTCATACCACAAATATTTTAAGATGATCGTAAACCAAAATCCCAATTACTCGTCCTGGAACACTTATAGTGTATCGGCTGTCGAAACTTCTAATATCGCGATGAATGTTGCATTGAATGTTGAACATGATATAAAAACCTTGAAGAAAAGAGTCAGAATTAAGTTTGACTAATAAAAATTTCGAAGTAGAAGATGCCAGAGAAGCCGTGAACTGCATTATGTTTTTTGATATTCATTTAATTGGTAGAATGTAATATTTTCATTTTTCTCAAGAGTCTGATGCTGTAAACGTTGTAGATTTAATTCGAAATTTATTCTTTGATAAAAGTTTTATTTCTCAGGAGGAAGTTGCTCGGAATGGAGCGGTGGGGGTGGTTGGTGGTACAACTTCTGCTACATGACAAATCCCACAGGCCTCTTCGGTGGTGACAAGCCTGCCCACGAAGATAGTGACCTTTACCTTGAATGGCGCAACTGGCAGGGGTACTATGCCTACCTCTCTAAACTCACCTTCATGATCAGACCCAAAACTCTGTAGCTGGGCTAATGGCACAAGACCGGAATCAATTTGAATAGCACTTGGCAGAAATCTATCACAGTTTTATAGCTTGACACTGAGTGATGAGATATAATGTTCTTATTCACTGAAATGCACTTGAGAGATATAGGTTTCACCTCACGATCAGACCATAACTTACTAGCTCAGCTAACGATACACGAACGGAATTGGCTAAACTAAATAAAACTTGGCTGAAAAGTTTTGCGTGATATTCTTCAGTCTTTTTTTAATCAGAAATAAACTACTTAACGCTTCATCAAAAACTCCTTGCTGATTCCACATCATGAACAAAACCGGACGTGAAAAATTGCGTAACATTGATGTGAAAAACTGGTTATTTGCGTATTAAGAGAAGAAACCTCGAATTGTGCATAACCTATTTTTCGTACTGTTTGATTTGATATTTTCATTTAACTGGTGTTTCTTGGTTTTGCTTTGGTATTGTGGTTGTTAGCCTTTCTTTCAACCCATGTCCAATCTACGCTGTTGAGTGAATTTGAGTGCATTAAAATTGAATTTCAATTATAGTTTCATTGACTTCTAAGTTTCATTTTATTTCTTTAAGTGGAGGTTAGAAAGGAATGTAATTATTCCAAGTTCTGACAGATAATTTACTTAGTGCGTATTTTTTTAAAATTTCTTACCTTACCGGCTTTTTTTCATCCGAACGAACACGAATTTTCAAAATAGGTCAATTTTCAGCACATCTCGCTGCTGATCCTGAAATGACTGAAGGTTCATTGATGTATTGTTGGAATATAAAAAACACATGTACAAAAAATAATAACACGAGATTACCTTTGCAGTTTATAACAAAATTATTGCCCTTCAATGAAATACACATATCTTAGAATAACTGTGTATACCCTTTTACAAAAACACTAAAGTTTTATTTGTATAACACGTTTGGATTAAAAAAATAAGTGGTAATAATTTAATTTAATAAATTCTTCAATTTAAAGCCTCCAGATTCCATTGTACTGAATGCAATGACGAAGGAGTGGCCTTAATCTAGATAGAGGAGAATGCAGAATACTTAAGCATGTTATTCGAATTCTTTTGGTTAAAAAATAAATAAGTCAATGCACGTTGTAATAATAAATTTTACCGGGAAGACTTCAGCACAAAGACTTGTTGCGTCTTGCATATTTTTATTAGTTATTCGTTTTACCTCAACATATACTGACTCACGTCAAAAACTAAATTCAGCAAAAATATTTCAAAGAATTTATTCATTTATTTATAGTAAAATTTATAGTTCAGTGTAAATAATTAAATTTATTTATTGCGAAAATTTATAGTTCAGTGTAATTAATTACCTTCATTTTTCAATGTTCAATCAATCGTGCATAATTAAATTATCGAAGTCGCATAACTAATCGGTTGCTAGTTTTTGCAGGAAAATACACAATACCAGTCAAGAAAAAATATAAAAAGATGAGTTGCAGGAAAGGAATCGTTCTCCTTTCTTATGTGAGATTTTTCTAACATTGCAAGAAAAAACAGCCGTGCAACATCGCTTTAGTCCAAAAAGCTGTGAATGAACCTAGAAAGTTATTTCTGCTGGAAGCCAGGCATCGAAAATAGAAGACATATAATAGTTCCAGCGTTGGCTATCCATCTCACCAACACCCATCTCACCAACACCCATCTCACCAACACCCATCTCACCAACACTCATCTCACCAACACTCATCTCACTAACACCCATTTCACCAACACCCATTTCACCAACACCCAATTCACCAACTGCCATTCCACCAACACCCATTTCACCAACACCCATTTTATCAACACCAATTTCACCAACACCCATTTCACCAACATCCATTTCGCCAACATCCATTTCACCAACAACCATTTCACCAACACCCATTTCACCAACACCCATTTCACCAACACCCATTTCAGCAACACCCATTTCACCAACACCCTTTTCACCAATACCCATCGTCCCACACCAACACCGGTAGACGATGTCGAGAAATGGGTTACTAATCGCAGGAAAGCTTGGTAACAAGTGAGCTAAGAGCTTGAATTAGTCTAACTATTCTAAACTACTTCGTTGAGATTAAGATGGAATTCTAATAAAGTTAAATTTATTTGTTAACAAAGTTTTTGAGTAGGTTCACACCTCTAACAACTGGTTATCGTCAGCGTATCCGGCAAATATTTGAGCGCGGATGCACACCGACAGAAGATATCCTTCAGTGTCCGGTTGGAATCCTTCGACGTGCGGTGTTGCCGAGTGCGGTGAAATTTACGATGTCTCTGCCTAGATATACCCTCGCCTGGCTGCAAATTCTGTTGTCAACTGTTCTTCTCTTGACGGCGGTAGATGCCCAGACTTCAGCCTCGTCCTCTCGGTCCCTGCCACACCAACGTTACCCACTCATTGACGATGTTGATGAATGCCTCGGCCTAGTCGAAACTGCGTTGGACATCCTCGGTAATCCTGAGAGCGACGGCGATATTAAGTACAGTAATTTTGACAGGCAACAACGAGAAATTTACGACAGTCTCAAGGAACTTTAAGAGTATTTGGAAAAAGAAGCCAACGTAATGGTGGGGGAAAAGTCGCCTGTGTCTGGAGTGCTCAAGGACCTCATGTCCTTCCGAGAGCGCATCGTGGAGCAACCACTGCCTTCTGAGCCACCGCTTCCTCCTGAACCACCGCTTCCTTTTGAGACCACTTATCCTTCTGAGCCACCACTTCCTTCTGAGTCACCGCTTCCTTCTGAGTCACTACTTCCTTCTGAGCCACCGCTTCCTTCTGAGCCACCACTTCCTTCTGGGCCGCCGGTAAATAAATAGAAATAATAAGTGAAGTAAATGAATCTCACTTGAATGCTCTTGTTTGAAATATTTAAGACAAAATTTTTGCATGATATATGAATTCTGAGGATGCAAAAAATCTCGCAACACCAACTGAACGAACCGCCAAATAAACCTGAATTCACTTGATTTTCGAATTTACTTAAAACGCAATTAAATTTTTCGGTCCGGTCGACAGAGATGAGTTGATAAAAATATTAAAATTCAACTCTTTTGAACTATGAGGGAAATGGTCAAAATTATTCATCATTCCAGGCGCCGTTCACTCCCGCGGATTGTTCGGAGCGGCCGGAGAAGACATCGGGCGTGTACACCATCTACCCCAGCGGCGCTGCCGTCCAAGTTTACTGCGACCAGACGACGGACGGCGGCGGCTGGACGGTCTTCCTGCGGCGCCAGAAGCAGGAGCCTCAACTCAACTTCAGTCGAACCTTTAAGGAATACGAAGGAGGATTCGGCAGTCCCAGTGGCGAATACTGGCTGGGTACAATTGACATGCAATTTTAAACCATGCAAATAAAATTGTTGTTGTATTCAAAGTTAACAATCGCAAATAGTTATACTATTTGGAATACAGTCACTCGCATATTTATTGGCAACACGCTTGAAAATATTTAATTTGAGATATAATATAATTTGAAGCATTTATTGCAATTTTTGCATTTATTTTCAGTTAAATTGATCAAAGAACATCTAATTACTGTGAATAACGGATAGTAAAACGTCAGATCTTTGTTGTATTTATATTTATTAGAAAAACACCATAAGCAAAAGTAATGGCAACATTTTGAAAAAAAGCATATAAATTGTTGGCAACTCTAAATTAATACTTTGTGTGACCTCCCTTGGCAGCAATGATAGCAGACAGACGTTTCTTGTATGTTTCTACTAGGTGTTGGCATGTTTTAGTAGGAATCGTGCGCCACTCTTCCATGGCAAAAGTCTTCAATTCTTTGATGTTGCTGGGTCTTCTTTTATGAACACGCCTCTTGAGTTCCCTTCATAAATTTTCAATTGGATTTAAATCTGGGCCTTGGGGAGGCCATTCCAACACTCTCAATTTCTGTGTAGCAAAATATTTCTGTGATGATTTGCTTGTGTGCTTAGGGTCGTTATCCTGTTGAAAGACAAATGCCCGTCCAAGATGCAGTTTTCTTGTCGATTGCTCAACATTATCGGTTAAAATGTGCTGATATCCTTTAGAATTCACGATGCCCTCTATCACAGAAATATTCCCAGTACCTGCAGCAGCAAAGCATACCCACAACATGATGGACCCACCACCATGCTTCACAGTAGGTAGAGTGTTCTTTTCCAGTAGAACTTCACCAGATTTCCTCCATACAAAGCGGTTGTCATTCACACCAAAAAGTTCAAGCTTTGCCTCCTCCGACCACAATATATTATTGAGCTCTATTATTGCTTGAGTAGCATCGATGTGCTTCCTGGAGAACTCCAAACGCTTCTCCTTGTGAATTGGCTTCAACAGTGGCTTCATCCTTGGTACACGCCCGTGAAGGCCCTCACGGTGCAGGTAGCGTCGCACTGTTGACACATCCACAGTTTTTCCAGTACTAGCCAGATGTGATTGCAATTCCTTGGAAGTGATCTTCGGGTCTTTATTTACTATTTTCATGCAGGAACGCACATCTCTTTCGGTTAATTTTCGATTACGACCGGTTCGTGCTCGCTTGGCAGTGGTCCCATCATTCCTGAACTTGACAATAATATTCCTTACGGATGAAATTGGAACATTTAGAGTTGATGATATTTTTCGATATCCATTACCTTTGTTGTGTAGTTCAACTACACACTTCCTTATGTACTGTGAGTATTCAGGAAAAATAAATAATAAGATATACCTGAAAATATTAAATGAATAATATATTTTTAAGGTAAGAAATTAGTTTACACGATTACAGGCTATAGCATTTTAATACAAGCACACTAATATTTCATCTCTATCTTGGACATAGGTACAATATTTAAATTTAGAGTTGAAAGTTGCCAATAAATATGCGCATCACTGTTATACCTGTCCTGTTGTCTAAGAAAAATAGGTTGAGACCGAACATAACTTTATCACCAACAAGCAGAGATATTTGCATCTATGAAAATTACTCAATATGTGAGCAAATGTACTAATATAGAATGTAATGGATCCCATATTACCGACTTTTGCTGTTCAGGTTTGAGGAATCTTCATTTCCTGACGTCACAGAAGCAGTACGAGCTGCGCGTGTTGGTAGCCAGAGGAACCGAGTCTGCGAGCAGCCACTACAAGAAGTTCCAGTAAGCTTAAATTCAATAGTTAACAATCTTTGTTCTTAAGCTTTTACTAATTAAAATTTAAAACCTTCAAATTATGAGTTTATTTAGCATACATTATATAACATATTTGAAATACCTCGATTAAATCTGTTGGGATGTACTTCTGAAACTAGTAATCGCCTGAACAGAAGGAAAACATGAAATATTTTTAGCTTTATACTTTTTAATAACAAATTTAACGCCTAAAGCTTGTTTTCCCCGTCAGAGTGGGAGCTGGGGACTCGTACAAGTTGCACGTAGAAGGCTACGACAAAGAGCGCAGCACCGCCGGCGACTCCTTCACCTACCACTCCGGTCGTCAGTTCTCCGCCATCGACAGAGATCGGGATATGGCTGAAGGTTCGAGTGAATAATAGAATATCGTACGAATCCATGCCATGAATATTTAACCTCATCATTAACATAAAACCCTGACTTTTTTTCTGGAACATTAAGTATAGGCACTCACTACTTTTAAAATCGTGTTGAAAATATATGTTTGTATTATGTTTGCTGGCATTCGTTTGATAGAATGTAACTTTTGTATCTTTTTTCAAATGGCTAACACCCCTAACGTATGATATTTAATTTCACATTACTCATTGACATCATTTTATCTTCTCAGGAGGCAGTTGTTCGGAATGGAGCGGTGGGGGTGGTTGGTGGTATGACTACTGCTTCATCACGAACCCCACAGGGCTATTCGGTGGTGACAAGCCTGCCCACGAAGATAGTGACCTTTACCTTGAATGGCGTTACTGGCAGGGGTACTATGCCTACCTCTCTGAACTCACCTTTATGATCAGACCCAAAACTCTGGAGCTGGGCTAATGGTACAAGACTGGAATTAATTTAAATAGCACTTAGCACAAATCTATCACATTTTTATAGCTTGACTACGAGTGGCCAGTTCTAATATTCTTTTTCACTGAAAAGTTTCTCATGCATGGCACTCTCCAGTCTTCGCTTAAATAAAAAATAATCTAGATAACACAGAATCAATAAATTCTTGCTGATTCGACATCACGAACGGCACCTTATAAGAAAGAATGCGTAGTAAGAGAAGAAACCTAGAACTTTACCTTATCAGTACAAATTTTCGGCACTTCATGCATTGACAATGTTATTTTACTGGTGTTTCTTGAACTTTCCTAGGGAATGCGGCTGTTAGCCTTTTTAAAACCAATTTCCATTCTGTTGAGGGAATTGGTGTACATTCAAATTTATTATAATTTATTGCTTCATTGCCTTTTAAATTTCTACATCAATTTCTTAGAGTGGAGGCTAGGAAGGAATGTAATAATTCGAAGTTCAGACTGACAATTTATTACTGTTATTTATTCTATAATATGACATCTTTCCTGCTTTGTTTTTTCATCCATGCAGATTCAATTCGCCAAAAATAGAACATTTTTTGTACACATCTTCACTTCTAATTCTGAAATGACTAAGGGTTAATGAGTATGAATAATTTTATGTACATAAAAAAAAACGGTCACGAAAGTATAGTTTACAACGTGTTACACTTTACAACGTGTTACAGAATTATTGTCCTTGAATAAAATACAATTATATTACAATACCTGTATGTTTCCGTTCTCAAAAACACTAAAATTTGCCTCGAACAAAAATAGTGGATTAAAAAAATTTTTCCGTTAAAAAAATTTTTCAATTTATAGCCTAAATTTTCCATTGTACTGAATATGAATGGAGAAACATTAAACGAGGAAGAGGATAATACATGCTACTCGAAAATTAATTTGTTTATAATAGTGATAAATACGCCTGGAAACGTGCAACAAATTATTGATTATTGTATTGTCATCGGGAGCTGAGCTTCCCTAAAAGTTTCAGAGCGCTAGCTAGCGGGAAAGTTGGTGAAATATAGATTGCAAGATTTGATCATCACAAACAGACAGACAGACAGACAGACAGACAGACGGACACGAAAGCGAGCTAAGAAAAACGTGGTAAAAAACAAATAACGTCTAGCGTCTTGTAACGCTCAAATTCTACAAGGGGAACGTCTGCACCAAGAGTTGTGTCTTGTATATTCACATTATTTTTCGTCCTCCCTCAGCATTTATTGACTTCAATAAGCAAATTTATCATATATTTAAAAAAAAATACGATTTAAGAGTAGAAACTTTATAGCTGTCTTTGAACCCTATTTTCTTAATTTTATGTTTCAGCAATACAGTAAATTTATATTCCAGTGTAATTACCTTAATAATATTTTAAAGTTTTATCAAAAGTAAAGAATTAATCCGTCGAAGTGGGCATAATTATTAATATGTTGGTTTTTAGCTTAGAAATGCACCATACCATTCAGAAAAGAAAAATACTATCACGAAAGAATTCGTCCTCCTTTCTTAAACGTGATTTTTCTAACAGTGCAGCCAAATAACAGCCGTGCATCATCGTTTTAGCCCAAAAAGCTGCGAATGAAGTCTGTTTGGCCAAGTTTCCCGGCCCCAAATATTGGAATGAATTCTGATTTGTAATCGAATTCGATCCTGCGTAGGCAACGACGAGTAGAACTCAAGGCCCGTGATGAGCTCTACGTCCTTCACTTTTGCGCTGTGCTCTCGAAGAAATTCTTCATCACTCTGTAATGGATATATTTTTGATCAACTCATAACTTATGTCCATGTAGAGTTAATTTTTAATGCATTCAATGCTATTTCTACCATGAGTTTTACAGCCAGGGATGATAGATCAGCTTGATTTCCTTCCAACTACGAAAGACATGTTTCTCAACAGCAAATATCAATTAGGAGTATTGATAATTATATAATTTCTATAAAATTCTTGGCCACTGGCCCCTACCAGGCAGTTGGAGACCAGCAGTTGCTGAGGGAGGATGAAGGCCATCGCGTCGAGGTGTTCAGGTGGACAGGCATGGAGACCTCCGAAGCCGATGTGACACCGCGTGATGACCGCAAAGATATGCGTCGGAACAGCAACACCTTTGCCTTGAACTCTGCATGGTGGAATATTGGTAACGTAAACCAAATAATAGCAGAAGATTTGAGATGTAAAAATTGAATGAATTCCCCATCGTTGAATAGTTTAAATGACGTTCATGCGATTATTATTTTAACTATTTCTAGAGCAATATTCTATTCATATAGATACATCTATAGGGAAGGTAACCGTATTTCTTTAAATGAATCAATATCAATTTTAAAAATTCATATAAGTTTTATTAAATATCAATAAGATGCAGCAATTCAATTAGTGTTTTTATTAAAGAAACTCACTGCCATTGTGCATAATCATCCTTGAGGCTGTCACCATCTCTGTCGTACACCGGACCTACAACGACGTTCATCGCACCGAACTTCTTCCTCCATTCATCTATGGTATCTGCTAGGGATCCCCATACTTTCTTCATTTTTTGTGTCATGATGACTGCATTTGTGGTGCTTTTAATGTTAGATTTGTCACTAGAACTGGCCCATCCTGAAAAAAGTGTGTTTAATTCAGTACAAATCCGTGACATGGTAATGCGGATAAGGATTATATTTCGCACACAAGGGGTCGGGAGGTCTGTAAAGAGTGCGCCTGTTTTTAAAACATATTCATTATTACTAACATAAATACCAGTCAGCTCACACTAGTGGCATTTAAAATGCACCTAGTAAATTCCTTAGTAAATATCTATTTTTTTCACGTAAACAAGGGTGATTCATGGAAATTTACTGTTTTGTATTTCTCGCCAAGCAGCCAGATGGTGTAGGAAAAAACGGGGAGTATTTAATATGAAAGGCAAGGTCATGAAGTTTTGGGTCTCGCCTAGTCAGTTGCCACTATGCATTGGACAAGTGTGCAGCGTGCGTTTGCTGTTGAGGCGTACTTTCTTTGCTAATGGCCGTTCCGTACTCGGTTCCGTATTCGTCCTTTCAGTTCTGGTTCCTGTTCGAAAATTTGGCCCGATCCCCCGATTTGGCTCCTCGTGAATTTTTTCATGGGTTATCTTGAATAAATTGTTTACAATGGCTGTCCAAGGACTCTACCTCATTTGAAGAACGACAGACGCCAAACCATCGCCAACATACCCGTCAATATGCTTCAAAGGTGTTGAACGGAACTTCAAAAATCGACAGCTGAATGCATTGACAATGGGGGCCGTCATTTGTCTGATGTCGTCTTTAAAATTAGGTGATACAAAAATTCACGTAATGCATTTTTCAATAAAATTAATATTGTAATATCTGCACTAGTTCTTTTTTAATGAGTTTTCAAATCAGGAAGTTTCCGTGAAACACCTTGTAGAATAAAATTAATAAACATCTGTATACCATTTACCAAATACATGTTTTATTACTTTCAGGCATTAAAGTTTCCCACGCAGAATCGCCTAGAAGCGGTTGAGTCGCACACACGGGGGGCAAGTCGTTGACGTGGACGCGCGGGTCAGGAAGCCACGACCCTAAACGCACGCCTCGCGACGACCTCTGTTTAGCATCCAAGTAGAAGCTGGTCCAGAGGGGCACTCGCAGCGCCCGGGAATAGGCTGAAAAATAGAATAAATTTCGCTTTACATTTCAATAATTCGTACCAAGTGAATTGAAAAGTTAAAACAAATTCTATAATGCATTTAGGAATAACGAAGACAGAATTTTTTTATCCACTGACCGCACTAAGCACCAGTTAGTTTGACAGAGTCAATTTTGTTAGTCATTGCTTTCAAATTTAAGATTCCGTGGGTTTTTTCATTGAGACTGGGATTTCTGTATAGTTTTTCCTTTATGCAAAATCAATTAATTTGTCATTCTTATAAATCTAGTAAATCAAGTTATGTTGACAAAGTTTATACATTCCCAGCTATTATCTTGAGGATTTCTTAAGTTTCCGGTTGGTATGGTATTGAACAAAATACTTTTGCACGTTGAATCTTACCCGAAACGTAGGAAGCGTCCGTTACAGTTAGCGTTCCTGGTAAATCATTAATGCTAACAAGTGGCAACCCCCAGGGTGCATGCCAGAAGCTCAATGATGGCAGGCCTATGGACTCAGTATTGATCAAGCGTCGGACGTGGTTCTGTACTTCCTCAGCCTGCGGCAACACTTGACATTCGGACTCCTCTAGCAGCTCCTCGAGTTCCTCGGAAGCGTCTTCTGGCAATCGGGCCACAGGTGGAACCAGCGATTTCTGGTACAGAGACACATTTTAAGGAAGCCTAACTTAGGTATTGATTTCATCATGCAAGTCAAGACGCTTGTACAGCGTGTTATTGTTTATTGTGTTTCAGTTGTAATATAATAAAATAATTTAAACCTACTCTTCGAATAGTAGGTAGAGGAGGAGGATTGATGAGGAGATGGTGGAGGGAGCCCCAAGTTCCGTTGTTGGGAGCAGGTCTACTGTCGGTCAGGAGGCACATCAAGTTGTAAAGCTCAATGTTCTGGAAGGCCTCAACTTCAAGTCCAGTTTGGAATGCCGGTCCAAAAGCCAAGAACAAAGCCTTCGCAGGTGAAATGGTTTAAAGTGAGTGGTTACTTCCAAGATCGGAAAGAATGGTGGCCCATTGATGGAGTTCAACGGACGAAAGTGCAAAAAATTATTCTGTCAAATACACAGTCAACAGAACAGAGCAACGAGATTAATAACAGATGTAAAATTCAAGTCTATAAAATAAAAAATTATTAGCAATACTTAAATTTTACATAGGCGGGTTATTCTTTCGAGAAAATACTGTACCATTTACTTGCTTTATACTGTACGCACATTCATCTCAGAAATGTAATTATCGTATCCGTGGTCCCCGAGATCCGATTTATAGGTTCCGTCGCCATCAACCTGAACAATGAGGACAATTAATTATGTTGAATAATTATTAACAATGAGATTAACTGCCACTAAAATTAAAATATTTAATTTTAGCAAAGTATATTTAATACTCATGGGGTAAAGTATACAAAGACGAACAGTATGGTTTTATCTAGTTCGAATGAAATATGTTCATTAAAAAAAAACACCATAATAGGTGTATTTTTAAATATTCATTTGCAATTTTATTTATTTAAAAAGCTATCATTTGACGGGCGATGTTCCTGAAGCGTTTTGGGTTTAAAGTTCTAAAAATATTTGAATGTTTCAGGATTTCTGCTGAAGACTGACCTGGTATCCCTTGGACAGATCCACGAAGATATCTTCGACTCGTCGTTGACCGCCAAGGTGCCATCGGGCAGGGGAATATTGTCTGTGGTAGACGTTCATCTCGCGTCTCTTGCATGACAATTCCTCCATAAGCGACAGAGTGCCCCCTGGAAAAGACAAAATTAAAATCAGTATTAATATAGGCAGTGGCTATTTGTTAAATTAATGGGAAATGAATTTTCAATATTTTTAAAAATATATGTATTGATATCAATGAGAAGATGACAGCTTGAGGTAAAATATGAATGATTTAATTAGACAAGTATATTTGAACTTAGATTATTCGTTTGAGTTTTAATTTGAAATGTACCGATAAGCTTGAAGGAATTTACGACATCATCTATATGATTGTGAACCGATGAATTAATTGACAAGCCTTAGCATATAGGAAGACAAACTTCATTTTAATGTGTAAATTTATCTGCAAAATTAAAGGCACATTTGAGCTTACCGAAAGAACGATCTCTCGCATTGAAACGAGCAAAAACACCGTTGTATAAACTTGTGACTTTATTGGCAAAGTTTGGGACGATTCTGTTCATGTGGAGAACCCTCTCCGGGCCAGCGGCCGTGACGCCGTGATCCGCGACAATAATCAGGTTAACGCAGTCCAGCAATCCACGTTTCTGCAGCCCAATAATGAGCTGCCGAATGGCTTCATCCACCAACTGTAGAGCTTCATTCACCTAAGGAAGTATGCAAATTTAAATACTTTTAATACAGTGACAGGGTGCTTCGCATAAAACTATTGTCGTTACTCCTGGTTAAACTCATAGAAAATTATTTGAGATCCGAAAAATGTCACAGCTACAAAAAATTAAGTGTTGAACTATTGAATCAAATGTAGCTTTAGGGTTTTCTAATCATAATTAAAAATAGTTGACGACTGACCGCTCATTATAATCAGACATTCACCTGTTGGGAGTCGGGACCGAAATCGTGAGCTTTCGCGTCAGGCTCATGCAAATATAGGGTGATGAAGCGCGGCCGCTGATGACTCGGTAGATCTAGCCATGTCAGTACCTGCAAACGTAGATATTTATACTATTTTCAGGTTTTTAGACTGAGTAATTGATCTCTCAATCTTTCGAGTTAAACTTTAGTACAATTTGCTTCCAGCCTTTCAATATACACTAATATTTAACTTTAACTTTTTTGAGCGTTGTAAGCCTGAATAAAAATGTGTAAAGAGTATGGCAATCTTATTTATCTTTGTGAGTCTAAACTCCAAAAACATAAGCGAAGATCGGATTACAAAATTACCTAATAATTCATGCTGGTTATACTAAATTGTCATTTCCTACGCTTGCGACTTTCACCTGATTAACTCTGACGTTGAAAGGCGTTCGATCTGAGAACGGCAGCCAGTACGTTGGAGATAATCCTCTGACTTCCGATCCTGGCCAGAAGTAAGTGGCGGAAATCTGGCCCTGAATCATCAGGAATATCATGAAATTAAGTCAGTGAAAAAGACAGGATTGAAGGCTTGTGCTAGGACACGTTATGTGTATGTAACAAAATGTTTTAAATTAATGAATGTTAATCTCTATTTACATATATATTAACAATACCACTTTGCATGACATGGAAAGCACCATTCGTTCTATGTAACGAGTAAAAATGAAGAAATAAAATAGCTAAAATAGAAAAAACATAGGAGGATGACAAGACTAACAGATTTTGGGGATTAAAACGTTTTTCACCGGCGTTTATCAAACACCGATAAAAACGCTCCATATATAAGAATGAAAATTTAAAAATATAGTACGACCTGCAGATAGAGAGATATTGTAATTATTCTAAAGATTCAATCCCATTCGTAAGCATGGAGTTTAATGTTCATATTAATTCAATAAATTTTTTGTCCGCCAAATTACCTGATTTTCGACGGTCTTCCAGATCGGTTCGCCGCCCCAGAACCTCCTCTCGTAGCTGGTCGGCTTGCCAGGACCAAAGGAGGCGTTGAAGGCAGGGTCTCTGAAGCGGTTAGCTATGATCCCATGCGCAGGGGGCAGCAGGCCCTGAACATAAAATCACTATAATTATTTTTAACTATGCCCGATATAGAAAGGCAGGTTTACACACAGGTACGTTTATATAGGCACAAGCACACAGCACTACACTATAATTTGATGTTCGAAGCCACACGAGGATACACAAATAGATTAGAGTGCATAGAGATAATGGTCATTCTCGATGCCGAGAGACTGCCTATGCTTCGGAAATTAAATACAAGTGAAGCTTCTGATCTAATCGAGGAGAGAAGTGTTCTATGCTAGTTTCATGGTTATGGTAATAAATGTGAGTATTTTCATGCCAAATAATGCTGATAGTATTATGGTTTTTACAGTCGTCTCTCTATCGTGATTCATTTATCATCTTTCATTATAATTCACAAGAGATAGAGGGGCAATATAAATTCCGGCAATATGAATGTATGTATTAGTTCAATTTATTAACAGTGGCGATGGTGTAGTGATTGGGGAAGGTGATGCTAGGGTAGGAAGGCTTCACGTATGGGGCGTGAACTCCTCTCTTGGAGAGCTTCGAGATCGTTGGGGTGAGTCCTCTCTTCAGGAAGTCAGCTCGAAATCCATCCGTAGAGACCAGAATCTTGGAATAAATAATAATATTGGAGTAAATTTATAAATAAATAGATAATAATCTTGAAAGGAATTTAAAAGCAAAAAACGTCAAGCAAATTTATTTATTTTTTATTCATTTTCAGATTGTCGAACTGATGATGGAGCTGGACTCCGATTCGTTTTCAATATCGATAGGGTGAATTTGCTTGACGTTTTTTTGCGATTAAATTTCTTGTGAACTTGCGATATAAGTAGAGTGATAATATAAGTACTTAAATAATCTTGGAATCTTGGAATAAATAATAAATAATAATAAATGAATTTCCCCGTTATATCAGGCCAACAAATTTGTATCGGACACCGTTAGGTTCGCTAAAATATTTTCTATGGGCTTATGCGCTGCGACCACAAATAATATTCGTTTCAGGATTAGGTAAATAGAAAACAAAATAGAAGGATACGAAAGTAAAAAATTACCAGAGGATGATGACTGTATTCTGGAGGACACCTGCTCGGGTCCAGCGCATGTGGTATGAAAGGAGGGCCTAAGCTGGGCCCGGTGCCCCGGAAAGACTGGAAATGTGGTCCAGCACAAACACTCCCCACCAGCATGCACACCACGACTTGAAACACTACCCTACCCATCTGTGCAGTAGTAGCTTGGAAGGATCTGTTTCAAGAAATTTCTGAAACGAAAAGAAACGTAAGATCACGTATATGAATAACAATCACAGGAAAGAACAAAAATTCTTATAAACTTTACGTGGACCTATCGTGAAAAACATTTACCAAATAACATGAGGGTTGTAAGTTATATAAGATGATAAAGATGATGTCAGAAATTTTTACTTATTTTTATTCGGGTCTCTACTACATTATTATTTTAAGTAGAAATAATTTCGATAGCATGGTAAAATACGGGTACAGAATTTTTAAGTGAACTATATGAGCCCAATATTTCCGGAGGCAAAGCTTGTATTTAGCGTGACGTGCTTTGTCATGCCTGTAAATTATCTCATATTTATATACGAATATTTACATACATACATAATTTTATTAGGCAATTTCATGTATATTAAACTTCTGTTATTGTTTTATAACTACTTCTATTATTCATGAATTTTTGCGAACACAACATCAGAGTTTAATTGAAAATAAAAATACATTACTTATTCTTATGTACATATAGCGTAGCTAAAAAGACACAAGACATTCATGAATATTTTCAAGAAAATTTAACCCTTCAACGCTGTACGATTGGCCGTAATCGCCTAGCATACTTCGGTGGGCCATAATTTCAATGCAAAAAAACTGCGGTGGCTGAACAAAAACTCTAAATAAGTGAGTTGAATAAATCGTTGATAAAATAACTTCCTGCATTGCTTTCGAGGGCTCGACAGGCCGCGAAAAGCCAGCACGGTATCTTCACGAGCCTTGGTCTCCCCGCCCAACTTTTAAGCCATTTCCTGGTTAGAAAATAACACTCAAATGAACAATATTTGCATTCAAAACTATATAGCATTAATTGAAGCCAAAACTGGAATTTTTTGCCCTGGTGTGTTGCATTTGCATAACTGCGTGAATATCATTTATTATAAATTAAATAGTCATGTGTTTTAGGCATTTACGGCTTTGCTGCACTCATTTTCTACAAATTCTGAGCCAATTTCGATGCTAATGTACTAAAAAGTTTTTATTAATTTTCAGTAATTTTGTTTTCGCAATTATCTTACTTTGTTATAATAGTTTACGTTTCATGTTCCAATGTTATAACAAGAAAAAATAATAAGAAAAGTACACATTTTCCGCTGTTAATACAAATGAAATTTTTTATTAAGTTGCAAAGCAATCGCACAGCTACGCACTCGTACATATATATGATGAACTTGAGAAGATGAAACCTTCTCGACGTAAACTACTTTAACTCACGCAAATGTTATTATTTTTCTCTCCATCCACGCGGTACATTTAAAATCGCGCGTGGCCGTTGATAAGCAACTATCATGTCAGTCGTGTAGCACCTCATCATCGCTACAGTGATGAGCTAGAGTTCAAGTACGCGATAGCGCCTCTACAACGCGCGCGTGCTCGGGGCGAACTTCTGTATCGTGCGCAACAGCAGCGGCGGCGTACGTGGTCGTGACCTAGAGAACAATGTTACGCTGTACAGTCGAACGGCCTTCACAATCCAAAAACGCGCTACGAAAAAAAACCTGAACTGATTATTAACAACACTTGGGGCCTACAATTTTCATGGATGAAGAGCGTTCAATGTTTCTATAGGAGCTCCATCATAAAGTTGTGTGTTCCATGAAGGTAATTTTTTGCGTTTGCATCCACAGAATTCAGGCCTACATCGTTTCTGGTATTATTTTTGGGATGTATAATAGCATTGATTAGCATAATTGTACTTCATACGCCCTCAATATGAGAAAGAAACCAAAAATTACCACACGCTTTTTTGGTTTTCGTTTCGTGTTGCACGTGGGTAGTGCTCTGCTTGGGTAGAACACGCTATCAGAACTGAGGAAATTTTAGACAGCACTGCGGGTGTTTTTAAATTGCATGTGTTAAATAGAACAATACGCTTTAGTTTTCCTTCTCTGATGACAGTGGTAACCTACATTGTTTTCCGCTGTTGTGGCCTTCATTGCACTGTAATTACTTTCCCTCGCAGGAATCGACAGCACGCATGAATACATTTCAAAATTAATTGAGCAACCATTGATTCACTGTGAGCTAAATCTTTGAAAATATTCTTTCAAGCATTGTTCAATGCTTTAATAGACATTGGAAAGCATAAAAAATTTAATCTTTTTCAGATCAGATTATCATATTATGTTTCATGGAAGTGCATGATTGATTTGCCCACAATCATATTTCTATTTACTTCTTTGAAGATGAAAAATTACAAAAAGTTCATTTCACTTTGGAATAATTAAAAATTCTGCCGGTATATAAATTCAAATTAAGTAAAAATTCTGCCGGTATAAACTAAACTAATTTCATTGCTCGCAGCGCATGTATTCATATTCAATAGCTGATTTGCTGGGCACTCAATTTACCAAGGCGCACAAAAACTCAAATAGTTATTGACCTTCTGACGGCGTTTTGCAAGGAACGCTTCATCTTATTTTGAGCTTCGCACCAGACCATAGCACCGAATTTGGAACTATACGCACATATTTCGAGGACGACGCCCACGACGTACAACATTTCCCGACGCCCTGGCAATAATTTTGTACAGTTGACAACATCCAGTGGAGGATGATGTCCCCCACTAATGTCTGGCAATGATAAGCTGATCGTATTTATTACCGTAACTGACGTAAAACAATACCCCTATTCGGCATTAATTCTTCGTGTACATTAATTGTACATGGGTGAAGATGAAGCTTAATGGCTATTAAAAAAATTTTTCGTCATAAAGGATTGCTTATTTGTGATTAATTAGGTGCAAATGCGGTTAGTTTGTTAGAAAAGTTGAAATTCACTTAGTCAGCAAGGAAATTTTGAATTTATTATTTAGTCGCAAAATGTCATGTAACGCATACCAGAGTGTCAAAGCATATGATCCTAAAAGTCGTAATGAAATCTATCAGAATCATTCGTAAGCATTTATGAGATCTGTTGAATAATTTTCGGGCATCATTATTACATGTGGACAGTCAGTAAAAATCTATTTCGCGTCATTTAGAAGTTCAGCAAGCCTAATCATATAAATTGCGATAAGTTTCGGCATAACTTGCGGGCGTTGGTATTAGTCATCCTGAATTAGGCAATCTCAAAGCCAACTCAGTGCAAATATATAAGGCAATGAACGATTTGCCGGACTAACTAGCAAAAAAGCAGAAACAACAAAAAATTGCCCTTCGCTTGGTGGTTGGTTTTCAGTCGGGACCTTGCTGCAAATGTCGAAATTCTCAAAAAAAATCTAAGGACGAAACTTGGGCCTACATGCAGCTCTAAATGTCAAAATTTTGCTTTCAAAATTTTATGGTTACGAACCTGGGAAACTTGTTAATCTGATCAATGACAAAATCTTCTAGGGTGTCACACGTTTGGAAAATTTACTGATAGAAAATGAGGAAATTGGAAAATTTACTGATAGAAAATGAGGGAAGTTTCGTTTCAGCAGCATTCCAATCTACGCGTTTGACCACTAAAATGACTTATGATATGATTTACATTATTTGGTTAGCGTAACTGATGGACTATTTAAAAGTTTTTTCTTCATTTTGCTCAAACCAAGAAAAATTTGATTTATTGGAAAATTTCTCCCTGGCGATTCCCCTCAAGGCAATCATTTCGTTAAAATATTATCTAGTTAAAATATTGTTTTCGTATACAATTGGCTTTAAATATTGTACTTATACCTGTATATCTTTAGCATTTTCAAAGCTAATATTGGTGCATGTTATGTGTTATGTTGTTATGCGAATTTTCTCACAAGCAGAAATTCATCCTGAGTGAGGCTGCTTATATTTTTAAGATGCCAGCACTAATTGTTTCTTTCGTTCCATGACAAAGGAGATTTCTGTTTTGCCAAAACTTTTCTCTGTTTTGCCAAAGGGTAGTTAAGCCATCTTATTTGGTGGCTAAATCCTTTTAAACCACAAAATTTGGCAAGACAAATGACATTCATTGTTCAATGTGTGGGCGACGATTATAAATTTTGCCTTCCAATTAAAGGGCACAATTACACAGTTATCTATTATACGATGGTGTCCAGTTTATAAATGAAGTTGCCAATTCTCCATGAAATTTGCAGCGTACTGTTTTTTCTGCTTAGAAATGCGTATCAGCTAGTTACAATGCAAGTAATTATTAGTTCGCATATCAAAAATGACCATGCCAGGACACGGAGAATAAAATGGAACTATGATTGAAAACCACGACTAATATATGTAAACAAATTCTTTCTATCGCTTGCAAAGGAATGCTGGAAAATCGGCCGGTAATAAGCACCTTTAAAAAGTGTAAACTTGTGTAAGAAAACTTAAGTTACTTATGTAGAGGTTTGGCGTTTTTCTTTCCGCTAGTAAACTCTGTATTTAATATAATACACGCGCTCACATCAAACTATTTATTCATTGTTCCTGTTAAAATTTGGCCAACTCTCGGTCCACCTGCTTGCCACAACAAAACGAGGAAGAAGTAGCACATCTCTCCTTGACTGCCGTGGAGGGACTGAGCAACTGAGGCAGGTACAGCCAAGTTTAGGGTCACTGCTGTAGCGCACCTACCCTCGCAGCCTCACCCATGGAGCTGCTTGGTTCCTGACGTGCCAAAGACTGGCACAAAAGACTTTAATTTGTTCAAGGATAGCGACCAAGACATCCGCATCGATAAATAAAAGCTTCCTTTGAAAAGCACGCACTTTTCACTCAAAAATCAGCGCGGGACGAGCAATGAATGGAAATTGACGAGGGTTTGTAATGAGCATTACAATGTCGCATTTTCCGTTAAACCAATGTGATAGATGTAGCAATATTTACGTGAAATTTTCATTGGATCTTCGATATTTTAATTTTAACTTATACATGTTTATGGAAAATAGTAAAAAAAAACTTGAATAAAGGTTTAATGAAAGTAATCGTGGAAACTGAAGGTTTTATTTAACAATTTCGTTTAATCTTGATTGTATGCATATTGATTGAATAAAGTAGTTAGTCAAGCTCAGACAGC